TTTAATCTCTTAGTTTAAGGGAAGATAGAGTGTATACACCGACGCCATTGTGATCGATTCTGAGCCATGCGACACAGAGTCTCCAACTATTAGCTACGATAGTCACGTGGACCCCAACCAAGTAGTCTGCATCTACCAACATGGCTCAGACAAGAAGTTAGTGACTTCAAGCGCTGATGCCATGTTTTGGTTTGGCCTTCCCTAACGTTCTTCCAACCACCTCCTACAGTAGTCAATATTACTTCCAACAGCACCCACTAATAAGAAACATGCCACAAGTTATAACAGTTACACACTAGGTTACTTGCTGTGGAACCTGGTCCTTATGATTATGTCTTCTGTTTTCAAATATTCCATCGAATTATGCTTCATGGAACTCTCATAATGTACAGAAGGATTTTCTAAAGATTAATAGCTTTCCAATCTATATGATCTTGAGTTGTGAACCCTTGTGTAGTTATCTTTATTGATTGGTTTCGAATGATACTGATGACTAGAATAAAGCTGAATAATAGTTGAACAGGTTTGTGAAAGTTCACTGAGTTTCTGTCTTCATAATTACACCCATAGAAAGGACTTTATTGATTTGTATGGAAGAGAAAACCATTTACAATTTATTAATTATTTGATATAGATTCTCTAGTATACCTGAGATATCAGAACATGAAAAATAAATAAATTACTAAGCGATACAATTTTTTGAATACTCTGTACACTTAATATCAGGATTCATTCGATAGACAGCAATAAACTCTCACATTATACTTAAACTTCAGTGTAAACAATTTAAGGAGATATCTAAATCTTATTATCCACATTGTGTTACAAAGATTCTGAAATAAACTTGTAATCACTTTATTTAAAACACGTAGTTATGTAACTGTAAAGTACAGCTCTTACGAAATAGAATACCATAATCAGTATAGGCTTGTGGAGATCATTAATTTTCTGATGGAGATCATGAACTGATTGGTGTAATACCACCACTCAAAGGCTGGAAGCACTGGATGGCCGTTTTGTCCTGTTGTGGAACTCCTCAGCAGTGCGCATCCACGATACCACTTGCTTCCGGGTTTTCAATGGTGGTCTAACATCAATCAGTTACATGTTCTCAATTAAAAACTTAGTAATCTCCACAACCCTATACTGATAATTACTATGTACTCACTAGTGACTAGCTTCGTGACGGAATTCTAGTGAGAAGCCGTGACCAGTGGAGCTAGTGCGTGTCGGATACAGACAAGCATCCACCTCAATAAAATGGAAGATGGTCGCGCAATTTCATGAATTGGTTGAGGTTAAACATTAACACCGTCGGATCCCGACTCAGTGGTATAGATATTAAGTGTTAGTGTGCGAGACTGGAGGCCCGGGTTCGAACCTCGAGGGTAGGATCACTGATGTGCACTGCTGAAGAGTAGGGCGAAACGGCCGTCCAATGATTCCAGGCTTTCAATGGTGGTCTAACATCAATCAGTTCATGATCTTGATCAGAATACTATGAACCGTTATTTCAAACTTATTTGTGTGAATAATTTATGAATACATAATAACTCAAAGTGTATATTTTCTTGGTATAACAAAATTATTCCTATACCATTTGGATATCTTTCTTTACTTTAAGATTGTTGATTTCTAATGAACATCGTAATAAAATCTCAGTAAATCAGTGAAAATTGTCTCTTTATTAGTTTATTGTAAAAAAAAAATAAAAAAAAGAACTTATAATCTATAATACCATATTCGATCATTTAGTGTTATCGATCACATGAAATAAATATACAAACTGAAAATGAACTTATATTAAATCATTACTTTCATGAGATTAATAGAAACTGCTTTATTTTCAACATTGTAAAACATGTTTTGTAGTTGCATTAAAGTATTAAGGTTCACTCAATTTAGTTCTGGAACATAGTGTATATGTACGTGAGGTTTATATGTAAGCAGTAATATATTGAATAATATAGAATGAACTTGATTATATATTATTTATTTAAATCTTTTTTTTTTATCTTTCCGCGTTTTTTTACTCATTTCAATTTTGTTTGCTCATATCAGTTATTCATTTTGTTTATTTTTAAAAGTATGAATAATTGCACTGGTGTTGACATTCTTTAGGGAATAACAATCGAAATTCATAAATTTTTGGTTGGTTAGTATGAGAAGGCCTCATTACATACTTCTCTGAATGCTTCAAAAACCAATACAGAGAGAAAATCCTTTCTCAAAGATTTGAACTGTGTATTTCATACAATAAGCTGAAATAAATAGGTTCAAAGTATTACTTTAAAAGTCTTCAAGATCAGTAGATGTCAGCTTATTACAAAAGGTTATTGCGAATGAACGAAACATTGAAGACATATTTATTGAGGTATGTTTTAAAAGTAACTTGCTCACACACAAATTTAACTCATACGCTTACCTCAAAAGACACCATGATCTTGGGTGACTTTTGCTCTGATATATTAATGATAAGACCATGTGATGCGGAAAAGGTGGGTTATGACTCTTTTAATGTAGTCAGATGATTCATCATTATCTAATGGAGAAAATACAGCAAGATATCTGAGATGGTACCATGGATTTGGTCTTGAAGGCTGACAAGGATTAATACATACCTCCAGTCGCGTCAGGCGAATCGCAGTTCAGCATACAATGTAGGATTATGTAATCCCCACACACTCCTTGGAACTGTATAGTTTTTTCTCAGTGGAGAGTCATAGCGTGGTAAAAGCTAGTCATGATATGGGGCTTCGGTCGGATTTTGAAGTATGACTAAGGACTGGTCTGGAACGGCCGAAGCTCATGGGAACGTGTACCTCCTAGTCCTTTTACCAAAGAGTTGTTCAGTCTTGTCTCATGGGGGTACAAAGAAGTTAGGGAGGTTGGTGAATCATAATCTAAATGTCTTCATTGAGTCGCTGAAAAGACCATTTATTGGTAGTTCTTTTGACTGACAGTTAATGCATGGCATCAGTACCGTTAGTTAAGTCCGTTATTACAGTACTTCTAATGGCAAGGGAGACGATTCCTCTGAGCTGTGGAAAACAAAATGAGAAAGTGGGGAGTAAACTGGTTGAAGGGATTAGGTTGTTCATAAGCAGGTCCAGTTGTCATGTTCATGATTCTATTAACAATCCGTCCAGTGAATTATGTGGTAAAAAATCACTCAATATGCATGTTTCGTTTGGTAAAGAGTGGCGCAAGTTTTAGGGCTATTGGTACTTCTTGCGTTATTTGGAAGCCGCTAATATGCAGAGTCTATAGAAGTGTAAGGGTAGTTTTCCTCCAACTGCATCCATGTAGATATTACCTACGAACTTAACTTTTCTCGTTAGCTTTGTCTGCATTTTAGTTTTCTATAACTAAGTTTTATTTATTTAATATCCAAGTGAATGATTTCACCATGTGATATTTGTCATAAACAATAGTAGTCGTCACTATCGACACTAATATTCGTTTCATTGTGACCTATAAGGACAATACTTAGTGGTGTATGAATGAATTTAATATTTATTGGATACAGAGATTCAACTAACTATGTATGTACCATATAGTATTTGTACATTCCGACCTGTCAAAGAGTGATGACAATAATCTATGAATTAGGCGTCTTAAGAACAGTACAAACTTCTGGACAAACAAGCAGGAAACTAAGATTTGGTATACCTATGGTGATTATTATTAAGCTCTCATACATATAAAATGGACATTTCGTTAGTTTTCTAAAATCAAAGAAAAGAAAATAGATATTTGATGCTGAATATTACAGTATTTCTTTGATCATCTTGGGCGATACAAGATATAGAAATTTATCATTCCATTTAGGACGTTTTACTTCCGAAACATGGGAACATTTAACAAGAAGACATGTTGATTGAGAATTCTTAGTGGAATCGTGATTAGAGTTATACACTAAAGCGTAACACGTGTTCAGCGTTCTCTTATTTTCAACCATTGTCAAGCTAACTTCAATTTATAATGTAAAATCTTCTTACACTGAATGATTTGTAGGCAGACATTTATTGTCGTTCAAGCTCTTATTGTTATGTCCTAAGCCCCGTCTAATATCGCGTTACAAAATCGTCAATCAGAGCACCGACTTATGCTGCGGTGTGTTCCACTGATGTCCACAGATGTAAGTAGTATGCATCATCATTCGAAAATGAAATGCCTTGAGGTAGAAGTTTAAGAAGATCGAAGAAAAGGGGACGAAAACAACGAATGATTGGTGTAGAAACAAAGTAACAATGAAGTCTGAGACAATTGATTGACATTCTGCAAATGAAGTATTTACTGTATGGTTCTCAAATTCTACTAAGACGTTTTGTAATTTTGTGGTCAAATACGTTTGATTGTCCCTACTGGTGTTCTCGTTCACTATAATACGATCTTGGCCCTGTGCCAAACCGATGACGCGTTAACCAACACAAGCAGCCTAGACTCAACTCTGAGACCTTATTGGTCCTCTTTATAGTAGCTTCTTACCTAATCTTGCCCGCTGAGTCCAGAAAACAATCTCAGCTCCTAATGTATGAGTCATGTACAAGTTTTTGCACATGCAAATCAGATCGCATCATACCATCAAATAGAAGATAACAATCATACATGATCGAGCGAAAACTGACTATGAATGTGAGATACTGTAACTAATAAATCGGAACTAAATTGGGAATCGTAAATTATCTCAATAGCCAATAGGTCAAATGAAAGTTTATAATATATATATATATATATATATATATATATATATATATATATATATATATATATATATATATTTAGTTCCCAGAAGTTACCTATAATTTAATCTTCTTCGGACACAATATTTTTCACTTGTGGAATAAGTCCCATCCGAAATTCCCGATTTTTTAAAAGAGCTTATAGCTTTTGATAGAATACTAACATTTATACGCTTCTGACGATCTAACCGTGGGCAATACGACTATAACTAAAGTTTTAATTTATGATTTTTATTTAATGTAACTTTCACTCAGGAATGATTGCTGCTACTAAGAAAGGATTATATTACCTTTTGGATAAGAATAGTTGCAAACAAACAGGGAATTTTGTCGTTGTCGTTCTTGGTGGGGCTTCCGAAGCCTTAGATTCAAGACCTGGAACATATGTGATGCACATTAATCAACGTTTTGGTTTTTTCAAGTTGGCCTTACAAACTGGGTAGGTTTTGAGTGAAATGTAATCATTTTCTTTAACACTGCATAAATTTTTAATAAACAAATTTTTATTGACATGATAATGCAGAAAATGAAATAACTATTGAATGATATTTATCATTAAATTCACTTGGTGTTACTTACTTGTAACTTTTCATTGTTGTTTAGGACTGCAATTGATCAGTCTCTTATTGGCATATGTGCATACTGTGCGAACTGCCTCAATATTGCTTGAAGTCACAAGCTTTATATACAAAGATGTATAGTGGCTAGCAGTGGAATTCAGGACGCGCGTTTCGTCCTATTTGGGACTCATCAGCTCGATGTACCTGCATCTCAGAGTTAATGGGAAGGCACAAGTGAATTTAAAACTTCCCCACGTTGCACAAGAAGGTGGTTATTAGGAGTCAGCAGCTAAGTAGATAACGCAATGGCGTTTGAAGCGAACAATACTGGGTTCGAGTCCCAGAGTGAACATCATTTCTGAGATGTAGGTACATCCAGCTGAAATGCCGCAAATAGGACGAAACGAGCGTTTTGGATTTTTCATTAAATATCTAAAATAGAGGTATGATACTGTAAAATCATCTTGACCTTATAAAGTGACTATGTCCTGAACTTTCTGGAATTTTTAACTTGATAAATCACTTGGTAGATCACTTTAAAACCTAAAGCCATCAGACACACTATTTGGAAATTATCATTTACCTATTTAAATTATGTTTTACTACATCAGATCAGTGAATTGGGACGAGAAAAAATTTTTCGAGATGAATCTTTTCGTTTCCATTATCAATTATATTGTACTTGCCAAAACATAGAGATATATGAAAATTATTAGTTTATACCTTCAAAGATAAATATTTATCAAACTATGGCTCTTCATTTTTTTTACAAATGTGTGAATAACTAATATTGTTATATTCATTAGGCTAATTACAAATAAGTAAGTACTACACTTATTACTAATGAATTAAAGTTGTGATAAACTTTTGATGAACATAGGAATCACTAGTTTAAATGAAGTTTATAAAATCTATTCATTGTATATAGTTGTAATTTTATTAGTTAATCAGTTATTTTTCATTATTTCAAATAATTTATATAACTAATTATCAAGTAAAGGAATTACTTATATAACAATATGTGGGATGATTTGATTATGAAAATGAAAAGTAATTGAAATGTATTTTCCAGTTGAGAATACAAGCAGGCAAATATAAACTCCCAAATTCATTCAGTACAACTATGCCATGTACTAATATATATTACTCGTATTAATAAAACCTTCATCATTTGTCATTAATTCGTTCCCTAGATTGCCTTATGATAAGACCAAAAAAATCTAAATTGTTTTGATTAATTTTTTCAATTGACAAATAATAAACATACAAATAAATTACAGTATCCTCATTCACATTTGTACTTTAAATATGTTATTGTAATTTACAGTACGTATACAATGAAATTAATCTAATTAAGTTGGATTATTTTTATGATCATATGGTAGTCAATGACTTGCTCTAGTTTTAAATGTCCAGTTTATCAATAATTAGTAATTGTTGTGTCTACAAAACCAGGTACAGCTTATAACAAATGTGAGTAACTCGTTTACTGAATACTGATGAACGTCAAGAAGAAACTACCAACTAATTTGTAAATATTTATGATCAAATCATTTGTAGACTGACTAGAATTACTTTGTCAGTGATATTTAGTGACTTAAATTGATTATAACTGTTGTGTCTTGTAACTGCAGATTAGACGCGCGGTGTATTTATTGATGGGATCAATGACACTTAAACACGTAAGGACGACCTAGAGTCCCAATTAGACCCTGTTGAGTCCAGAACGCAAGTAATAGCTTCTGAGATATAAACCATTATATTTCTGACATACTATGTTTATATACCAACCAAACAGACCACATCGTACCATAAAATAGAAAACAACATTTGTACAACATTTAACAAGTGAAATGAATACTGATCAATAGGGAATGTCCATTCAAAGTCCAAGGACACCATTAGACTTAACATGATAATTATTGGTATATTTTTCCGAATATCCCAACAATAACATTTTAGGCTGTTGGGTGATATGGTAAAAGTTCAATCAATCAAAATATTGCTGTACATTCTGAATCATTTTATAGGATACTTTATTCTTTTATTAAATAAAATGGTATTAATTACTTAACCACCTTCCAATTATGATTTTAGACTAATAAAAAATGTATATAAATAGTTTGATATTTGTTAGATAATTTTTTTTCTCAGTCACAGATAATTTATCATCTTCTTATATTTCTATGAATTTATCAGATAAATACCACTAGAGAAACAATCTCATTATTTTTCCATTCATACTGTTTAGTATAATCTAATTATTATTATCATAATAATCTACTCAATTATATCAAACAAACATTGGTTATGTATATGATTTCAACCTAAAATTAAAAAAAGTAATTTACAAAATGTTGGTTACTTATAAACTTTTTAAGAATGTAAAACAAATAAATATTCTATATACTATAATAACAGTAAACATCTTATTTCAACATAGTGCACGCACTCTCGAGTCACCTAGACTAGTGATCACATTGCAGCTTGGTTGATAGCATTCGATCTGCACTAAGGACTTGACACATATGACATTGATCACCACCCAGTGATTGTAAATAACAGCAAACATTGTAAAGTCTGAAAATTGAAAGCACTAAAATTAGAATTAAATAATCTAAGTAATATTAATAGGTAGTTGGGTAAGAACTCTTGGCTTCTAATATGGATGAAGGAATTCTGCTTTAGACGGGAAATAAATTGATTGTTAACATAACTTTTATTTTGAAAGTTTGTTGAAATAAAGCATATTATTTGGTAATATATTTCATACAAATTTCCGACTTAATACATTTTAACTTGTAAATCTACACAATCCTTTTTCTGGGTTTTTGTAATCCATTATCTCTATAACTTACTGTGGGTCAGAAATAACCTTCAAAGTCCTGAAAATCTAACTATTTGATGGTTCTTCAGCCCTTGAAATTACAAGACAAGCACAAAATAATTAAGTTTCTACCATTTACTTGATGTATTCGACATAATCTAATTTATGCTGAACTATTCTTATTTTAATTGAAGATCATATTTGGTACCATGTATATCATTTGGTGAACAAAGCTTATATCATCAAGTTCCAAATGAAAAAGGATCATGGATACGATGGCTACAGGATAAGTTTACGTCGATTTCTACCGTTGCACTGCCTATTTTTTATGCTCGTGGTCCCTTTCCGTATCGTAAACCAGTTTATACTGTAGGTATGTTAATAATTACATTGAAGAGTTGCAGTTTCCTGCTCTTGTAGGTGATCATTCACAAATTGTTAAAATTTGAATACTGACTACTTAGTGAATGATTCTTTAAGAAATGTTTCTTTTTTACACACTATATATGGAGAAAATTCATGAAGTTCAATCGTTACGTTTTATGAGAACCAAATTTTTAACAACCATTTTCAAAAGTATGTGGAATCGTATTTCTTGATTGCTAACCAGTCTTTGATAGCACATGAGCAACTCATATAGTTCCCTTAATATCAGCTGAATTCATATGTTAGTTAGGTGTTCAGAAGCAGCTACCATTGAAGTCCAAGACTGGTGTTGTGTGTTTAACACTGTGGGGTTTGAATCTACGGGCACTAAGTTTTTATCCTAGTGAATCTGTACAGACCACAGTCGCCATTGACTTACCTCGCAAAAAATCCACATTGTTTCTTTCAATTATTTTGTAAACATGTCGGGCATACGTGACCGTTTACAACTACTCTTACCAGTCAGCAAATTAAGTACAAAACTAATTTGGATAGGTAATATTTCGAGACACTTTAGCCTAATCAAACTATAGTGTCTGGAACTAAATGCTACATTTAAAAAAACACCAGTGAAGGTACATATTGTCATAAATTCAACCAGATCAGTTTTTATAACTAAACAAGAATTTGTAGCTGAAAATTCTACCGATTTCAGAAAGTAACCTATCATATTATATCTTTAGAAAAAACACTTTTTTCTTACAGTTGGTGCTCCAATTCAATGCCAAAAAATAAATGAACCCACAGACGAACAGGTCGCACATATTAAACAAATTTATATAGAAAAGCTCCAAAAACTATTTGAAGATTACAAGGCAATTTATGATCCAGAAGCTAATGATATTGAATTTGTATAAATGAAAAACTTATGTATTTTTGATTCATTTACCAAACTAACGTAATCATGTATTGAAGCATTGAATGGAAAAAGTTAAGAATCCTTATTTGTTGAATAGTACATCTTTAAAGATCACGATTAAACTGTATCTTTATTGGAAATTTCCTCTTAGATAATTACAATACTTATTAAAAGTGTTTATCTTTTAAAATCGTAGTAGAGGAAGTATTACATAGACAAAATAGCCACTTTATAAAATATTGGAAAGCTCATGTATATTATATGTGTTCCAAGTACTATTGTTTCTCTACACCAACCAATAATAACAATGATGATCTTTCACATCTTTCTTATCATACAAATTCATTACAATACTTTTTTCATGACCGTAACAGTCATGGTATAAGTGATTTGTTTCACACACTCAACTAGTGTTATGCAAACAGCATGGACGTTACATTTTAATCTTATGACTAGGACAGAGATAAAATGGCGGGAAGGCAATAAGATAAACCTAAATTGCATAACCTCAATTTCAAGTCAGAATACTCACAAATGAAAACTAACTAAATGAAAGAAAATTTAACTTTTTAACTGCATTCGTCAGAATAATTACGACAAATTTAAAATCATTCCTCCAGCTAATCAAGTAATATTCAAATCAGGATGAATAGATTTTTGAACATCATGAAACAACCGAAATAATGTCAATTAACCAATCTTTAATAAGTTCTATTCCATAAAGTGGTCAATAATCATATTTCAAACGATACTGTAAATAAATTCACTTAGTATTGTTTGAATGAATCTTCTCATTGATGTTTAGGATTGCGATTGATCAGTCTCTTATTGGTATACGTGCATACTCTGCGTATTGCCTCGATATTGCCTTAATTCACAAGCATTACAAGCAAAGATGTATAGTGGCTAGCAATGGAATCCAGGACGCGTGTTTCGTTCTATTCGGGACTGTAGATAGAAAATTTTCCATGACTCCAATTACAGGACTGAGAAAATATTCAAAAATTTAGACACAGATTTAACAAACGTATAAAATATTTGATAATAATCAAAACAAAATGTATCAAAAACCTTCAACTGAACGGAAGACGACAGTAAAAGTCATGAGGAAGAGATAAAAAAGCACAATGGAAGTAAGAGAAATAGAAAAAACATGAAAATAGGTAAGAAACAGCTTAAAAAAGGACCACAAGAAACGAAGAACTAAAGACGTCAAAGAAGTAAGCGAAAAACAAAATAAAAACAGCTTAAAATGCATTAACAAGCACCCAATATGCTCGTCGTCAATACGGTCACCGACAAATTGCCAATGACCACGATCGTCGTCACCCTGTTCCCCTCATCTCCATCATCATGACGGTGTTCAACACGACCGATTCGTTTGTAACCTCCTCACGTACCACTTGGCATCGACGAACAGACACACATTGAAATGCTCATCAACGCGCTCACCCGCGATCACACCCAAACGTGTGTTGATGAGACGATCATGTGATATTGTGTTTTTGGTGATTGAATCGCGACCTCACACACTGTTGTAGGTCTCGACCGACATCGAGGAATCACATGCCTCTAACACCGACTACCAAATGTTTGTGTTCAGTCGGCTTTGATGAGAGCACTCCGTTTGTCCAGAGAGCGTATGAATGGGCATCAGGGATTTGCATCGCGACACCTTCATTGACTTGGTTGTTGGCAGTGTGAATGTGCGTGTTCTTGTTAATGATGATTTTGTTATTGTTTTTGATGTTGGTGTTTCGTGTTTTTGTGGTAGATTGTTTGCATGTGCAGGCGAAGCATGCGTGTGAGTGTTTGTGTGTGGATGTTTGTTGGGATTGTGGTGATGGTGGTGTTGTGCGTTGATTGTAGTGTTTATAGTTGAACGTGGTGTGGTGTTGTGTTCTATGTGTTATTCTGTGATACCCATATCCGAATTGTTAAATGCATTTGGAGCTACTGAGAATGGGATTATTGTTCATCTTCTTTTGTTGGAATGTGCATCTTATCTTAAACTAATGTCACTCATGCTAATTTCTAAACAGCCTTCATCGCACTATATATCCTGGGTTTTTTTATTGTAGACATATCTTTAATGTGTTTATTCAAGAATTAAGTTTTTTCCATTATATCGTATTTATTCCGTACTTTGGTTTTGGCATATATCTTGATTAATCTCCCTTTTTTACGTAGGCAATTTGTAATAAAGGCTATGAGAATGGCAATAATCTTTTTGTAACTCATTGGACATAAGATATTGTAGTTTAGATAAACTTGACTCGATGTATTTTTGTGGTCAATGTGTCTTTGTAATGTACAGTCTCAAGTTCGTTTTATTTCAATATCTGAGAAATAGAATTTACCTACTTCATGCCTTATAGTAAAGTCTATATCATTGTGTGCTTTGTTAAAAAGATTGAGTAAGTGCATAGAATGAGTATGATTGTTGCAGACGAGAAATGTGTCATTAATATATCCACAAGAGAGTGCAGTTGCTTCAACTGAATGTTTAATCTTTGTTTGTCCCAGGTTCCCCATAAATATATAATCTAAAAATGATCCCAGAGGGCTACTCATTGCTAATACATCATTTTAGCGGTGCAACACACTGTTGAAATGAAAATGTGTATTTTTGCTTCATAAGAACGGAGGCTGTTTGAATTGATTGATATAAAAGACAGGCAGTTCAGATGCTTATATATAATATCGGTAGTTTCTTCCAAAAGAATTTTTGTGAAGGGAGATGAGACATCAAACTGTACCATGAATTTATTGGAAACATTCAAGTTATCAAGCTGTTTTGCGAATTCGAAACTCTTTCAGACTGTAGGGAGTTATTTTCTTACGGACTAGTTCTAAACACCTTGTCAACCAGCGGGCGAGTTTGTGGAAACGTGATCCGGTCATAGATAATATTGGCCTCATGGGGATGTTTGAAATATATTTTAGGTAAATCGTTTAAATGAGGTAAGTGTTATCCTTTCGGTTTGAGGTCATTGTACGTAGGATTATCGATCAAATTCATCAAATATTCTCTCAACTCTTTTAAA